TTAATGCGTGACGGCAAGGATGTTGATTTCACTTAGAAAATGGCAAAATGTTAATTTCACGTAGCGTGTAAGCTCAAAAATGTTGATTTCGGGTCTAAGAAGGTAAAAATGTCGATTTCACGCAACGCGTGACAGCAAGGATGTTGATTTCACTTAGAAAACAGCAAGATGCTAATTTCACACAACGTATACACTCAAAAATGTTGATTTCAGGTCTAAATAGGTAAAATATGGTGGCCGGAAAATAGTGTTAACATCTGGAACTTACTTTGGTTATCTGGGACAATGATTATCTGCACTGAACAAAAAAACATTAAATGAGCACTTTTCCAAATACAGCAATGTCTTAAATGGCTAAAAATCACGAGATAAATACATATTCTTCGACAAATGCGATCATAGCTTTATGTCACGCACCACCTAACTTCGAAATTCAAAATGCGCTGGTACCTCTTATGCCTGATACACCGATTCAGGCTATTACCGGAAGTTGCATGAAAGCGAGGCCTAAGGGCCCTCGCAAAGGTGCCAATCTCAAAAAATATGGCAGACGAAAGGGACAGAAATAAAACCTGTCACAAATGCTGCGCTGCAGCGCTATGTAAAAATCATTCTGATAATCGGAAACACCTCATTTTCCACGCTTTTCCACGAGACCAAAGTCAGAGAAAAATATGGATGGTAAGGATGAAACGTAGTGACGAAAAATTCGCTTCTAATACATCACTCTTCTGCTGTTCCGAACATTTCACCTCGAATGATTACAAAAAATCTTTAACTGGCAGTAGACATGATCTTGTTAGGAATGCAGTTCCTTCTATTTTTCCTTGGACGGAGGATCACGACAAAGGGAGTGAGAGGTCCGAAAGAGCAAATGTTCGTGACGGTAAAAAACGTCGAATTTCAGTTGCTGGCCCATTGGAAATGAAGCATCTTCYGGATGTAGTGAATTACACYTCAGAGAACACCCGTAGAGAGAAAGAGTCAGAAKACAAACYACAAGAGAGAGACTTACTTGCCGAGATTTGTGAACTCACGGAAAAGTTATCCCTTTCAAAATTCTCCCTAGAACGTTTTAGCTCCAATGATGACGATATATTTTTCTACACAGGATTTCAGTCTTACGAAGCCTTGATAGCATTCTGGAACTTTGTCAAACCGAGTGCCGAGTCGCTACTTAGTTGGAACCAGGCACGATTCAAAGTAAATGGAGACCTTCCAGACACTGCATTTCCTTTCTTGCAAGGTCAGAAGAAAGAAAAACAACGAAAACGAGAAATACAACCAATTGATCAGTTGTGGCTGTTTCTGACAAGGGTTCGACTTGGATTATTTGAGCGTGACTTGGCGCATAGATTCAACGTGTCTGTAGGCACTGTCTCTGATATTGTTATCACTTGGGCAAACTACCTATACATTCTTTTGGGTAGTTTGCCTGTATGGCCTTCAAAAGAGAAGGTAAAGCAGCACTTGCCAGAATCATTTAAGGGAAGATATGAAAGTGTAAGAGGAATTCTTGACTGCACTGAACTGAAATGTGAATTACCCAAGGATTATCAGAAGCACTCAGAAATGTATTCTGACTATAAGTCGCATGACACATTTAATGGGCTAGTTTGCATTTCACCAAGTGGCTGGTTTACCTTTGTGAGCCAATTATATCCAGGAAAAATCAGTGACAAAGAAATCATACAAAGGAGTGATTTTTGTCAACTCATTGAACAAGGAGATCAATATCTTGCTGACAAAGGCTTTGAAATCCATGAACTGATTGCCCTCAGAGGAGGGAGTCTATATATTCCTCCAAAGAGATTTTCTGCATCTGACCAGTTTACTGAAGGCCAATGTTTTGAGACAATGAGCATAGCCAATGTAAGAATACAGGTCGAAAGAGAAATAAAGCGGATAAAGGCTTGGAATATTTTCAATCAAGTTCTGCCTCTCTCCAGCTTTGGCTCCATAAATCAGATCTGGACTGTGTGTGCATTGTTAGTCAACTTTCAAAATCCAATCATTTCCATTTAAAATAACTATCTAATACTCTTTAATACTTCTAGTTTGTGCAGAACTTTGTATTTGAAGAACACTTAAACACAACATCAAGCTAAAAGGATTCAAATCCTCAGACAATAGATTAGTAGTTTCATAGTGCTGCAAGTTTCTTTATGAACTCACTTTGAGGCTTGCTTTTCCTCATGTTAAGTTCAGATTTTTGCTGGCAATGCTAAGCTCTAGTCATTGGAGTCTCTTGTCTTTAATATATTTCTCATGAAAAGCAAGTAATTTTGGTTTTATTTCATACATCTATTGCCATCTTGATGAGAATGTGACCTTTAGAACCAAAATGGGAAATCGTAAGTTGGTAAAAATAACAAAATCAGTCAATGGAAGCTTAGTTATTCCCATCTCTATCTGGGACTGAAACCAGTTTCACTTCATAAAGAGAGTTTTTCTCTGTGAGTGGAAAACTTGTTTCTTTTTGATGATCCTTGATGGCAACCTCTGGTGAAACATCCTGCTTTGACTCAAGGTATTTTATTTCGACATTTCTTATCTCGGTATTACCATTGTGGTAATGAACTGTTGCAATTCAATCAGGGCTTGTTGCAATTCAATCAGGGCTTGCTGCAAGAACAGTATTGTCTATAGCCACAATTAATCCAACTTCTTGAACTGTGACTGCTTTTACATCTGGCAATGTTAACAGGTACTCTTTGTACAAACTTGCTACAACTGGCTCATTTTCAAGGGTGTCTACAAAACGAAGACCTAAGACCTAAGACCTAAGACCCAAAAACGAAGACTTGTTTTTTCACAGGCCTATCAAACCAGAGACAGTCAAACCAGGTCAACGCTTTTCTTCAGACAACAACTGACGCGAAATTAATGGGGTCTTCGTTTTGTAGATAAGGCCGGCTCAAACTACAAAACGAAGACCCTCGCTAAAATGCTTTGTTCATTGTCAGCTGACACAAAATCAATTAATGGGGTCTTTGTTTTGTAGATAAGAGCAGCTCGAATTACAAAACGAAGACCCTCACTTAAATGCTTCTTTGTGTCAGATGACATGGAATCAATGGCGTCTTCGTTTTGTAGATAAGGCCAGCTCGAACTGAAATGCTTTGTTCATTGTCAGCTGACGCGAAATGGGTTCTTGTATGATGTTGACAGTTTTTATCGGCTAATCCCCTGTAGACCCTACTTCTTAACAGTAATTTGAAAACAATAAAAAATAGAATAAAATAATGTTAACTCGCACACCTATGATATGGACGCAAAACCATTGACGTCCCCAATTTCAAAAGGAAGACCCTCTTTAAAATAAAGAAAATCAAATAGTGTTTTATTTGCAATCGGAGAGAAACATACAAACAGAGAGAATCCAGGAGACCTCTTAAAATTGTCCGTAAAACCCTGATTGTTGATGAAGAATGTTAATTTTAGCAATGGACAAAGGTTGAAAGTTGGCTAGTGAAGTTGTGTCTTAAAGGTTTTTATATTGTAAAGTGACCGCGTCGAACACACTCATAATCTTTGACTACTAGTTTCTAATTCATGCTTGCAAGTCTAGTTAAGTATTAATATTGCTTTATTAAAGGCTCTCTTTGTACCAATTGTGGTTTAGATGCACATCGAATTTCAATTTAGCACATGGATGACAATTTACTTCACATTGCTTCATTCATCTCGATGTTCATTTGGAACGGTAACACGATGTGATTGTAAAACAAAGAAAATCATGTCTTTTCCTCTGCCTAGCTTCGACTCGAAGCGTAGTCACAGGCCAAAGTTATTTGATACCTCTATCCAGGATTTAACTGGAATGAGCTATCAGACAAGGACGTGATTGGAAGCGGCAGCTTCGGCTCAGTGATAACCGCGAAACATAGCTATGCATTCCTTTTTCGAAATCATGCTTTTTTCAAAAAATTACGAATTTTCCAATATTTTGAAATGCTCTCAAAATCTGACCTTGTAGAAATGAAACAAAATCGATGCACAGCGTAATGAAGATTTAAATTAAAATATTGAATCAATGAAAAATCCTGATAAAGTAATTTGCCTGGGAGCCTTTGCATTTTTTCTGTATTAGTCACTTGACCATAGGCGTGGCCTGATGACATCATCACTAGTGTTACTGATCATGGAAAAGCTAAAACACATGAAATAACTGTGAACTAAAACTGATGAGGTTATATGAGAATAAATTTTCCTCAGCAACGGCTCGAAAAGATCGGTTAATGGGCCCTTAAACGCTACAGTTTCCTAGCGTGCCAATCTTCTCAACACTCGACACCTTATTATCTTTAAAGATATTTGGCAACGCTAATTACCTCACAGAAAATTAATTTGTTTTTCACCGTATACTTGTCATCAATGAACATTCGTCTTGTCTTTACCCTGACAAAACAATTATCGATTGTTCAATCACAACCACTCTTTCGTTGACAGAAAATATAAAACAGCACATTTCCAAAACTTTATAAAAAACTGAAAACTGCAAATGAATTGTACCCTGACTTCATTATCACTACTGTAAACCACCTCTAATTAATCAACAATGCATAGTGTACAATTACCAATGTAATCTGAGCGATGCAGAGTATGTCGGGTATACCAGCCGGTATTTGCACCAACGTATTGATGAACACAGGTTCTCCGCAATTGGAAAGCATTTAAAGAACGATCACGGCCTTTATAACATCGACGACCTTGCCAAAAATTTTTCTGTCCTACAGAAATGCAACGGAAAACTGGATTGTTTGATTTAAGAAATGCTGTTTATTAGAAAGAAGAAACCTAGCCTGAACACGCAATCGGATTCCATCCGTGCGAAACTATTTGCTTAAACAAATATGTTAATGAACAATCACACCTCTCACTGCATATATGACACTGTTGAACCATTATTTTCTTGTCACCTGATAATGATGTCATGACGACATCGAAACGTTGTGTAAAATTTTCATTTGGAAATTAATTTGTTGTTTCAACTGTGTACTTGTCATATCAATTAAAAGCAGACTGCTGATCCTACAAACAGTAAAGGAAAGCCGCAAAGCCTTCACCTATCGCCTGTGTGACTTACTTGTCTATCTAAACTTGTATGTATGGAGGATATGTTCTTATTATGAGTTAGCCCGTGAACGCAAATTTATCCGATACTGATTAAACCAAAATCCACCGCTAAATCTTCTTTTAAAAGCTACAATTAAAAGCACTCTGCTGAACCTACAAACAGCAAAGGAAAGCAGCAAAGGAACTCCCAGAGTGCATTTCCCTTCCATAGGGGGATAAATCGTGCGCGACATAAGCGCACGGACATAAGCGGGACAAACTATGCAAAGTCACTATCCAAAGGAATGCATGCATGCCAGCATAAAGCGATGGCATAACACAATACGCCATCACTTAAAAATCTGAAATTCCGGAGGGGAGGAGGGGTTAATGATTTTGGAATTCAGAGGGCATGGGGGGTAGAGCATTTTGGAAGTTCTGAAGGCAAGGCGGGTTAAAATGTTCATGCCACCCATGGTAGGGTATGGATATTTTCTGGAATCACCCATTTGAACTTTTGCACCGGGTCAGTTGAGCTAACATCAGCGTCATCCCTCTAAGGTCAGTGGTCAGCGTGCAAGATGGCCGTGAAATTTATAGCTCCGAACTAAATAGGGAAAAAGTTAAATTTTTTTCTTCTACTTTTCATATCTAGCTTACTACATGTGTTATTGTGTGTATTAACATGTCACTAACTACGAGAGGAAGCAAGAAACTGTCAAGTGATGCACCAGAAGATTTTGAAACGTATGTACGCGAGCTACTGACACACTTGTGCGAAGGTCAGAACAAGATCATACAGGACATCTCGAGTCTGAGAACAAAAGTTCAGTCTAATGAGGCGGCATTGGTCAAGCTTTTGAAACAATTTACGACCCTCAACCAAAGTTTCGAGGAGCTCAAGGGAGAACTTCTTGATGCAAGATGCAAAGTTGATGAAATAGAAAGCTTGGTTCAAAACCATACCACGCAAATCGCTCAAACGTATGAACGTTTGCTGTCCCTCGAGCGTTATTCGCGCGAATAGAATCTTCATTTTCACAACATTCCAGAATTTCCTGGCGAGGATTGCCTGCAGAAAATCAACGATATCCTAGCAAACCTGCTCAATCTGGAGCCGCAAATTGAAAACGCCCATCGAGCGGGAGCAAGAAGCGATGATAAGCCATGAGCGATAATTTGTAAGTTTGTTTATCGTCCAGAGAGGTACAAAGTCACTCAGAAGAAGCGTGACTTTAAAGATGGTGTTTGGATCACAGAGGATCTGATTTGGGAGGACCGAGAGAAAAAGAAGAAGCTCAGAGATGTGATGAAGGAGGTGTTTGAGAGGGGAAAAAGGCCAAGATTTCATTGTGGAAAACTTTATATTGATGGAACTTTGTATAGAGAAACATAGATGTTGATTCCATTGATCAGGTTAGTTAAAATATGCATAAAACCTTCTGTTGTCCTACAACTAGTTTATTTTAACTGGCATTTGCCAATATTTAGTTGTTTAAAATAGACAAATGACTCATAACATGAATGATCCAGATTTAAATGTACAATCATTTAATGATCATGGAATATTTACAGTAGAAGAGCTTAATGAACTCTGCTCTGTCGTTAAGCCGCAACTCATGGCACTTCATCTTAATATCAGAAGCCTAAGTAAACACTTTGATGAGCTATGCAATCTTTTGGACTCCATT